GTTAAAGTTTTTAAGAATAGAAAATGTAGAAAAGCATGATTTTAATTCCGTGATTGTATTTTATCCGTGCTAACATCTGCAAATGTAGTAGTGTTATATGTATAACACCAATACATTTTTCGTTTATAACATCTTAAGATCGTACTTAAAATGGTTTTAAATTAAATATAAGATTCGAGTATGAATACCACTTTGCCCGCGTTTTTAGTGGAGAATCCGTCCACTGGCGCTCTCTATGTGTACAAAACGTAGATATTGAACTACGTAGCTGTGTTCACGAATATTTTCAACGGGTAACCGCAGATTATTCGAATCCTCGGTTTTGTTCCGAAATGATTTACCGTGAGAAACTAAAAATTAAAGAACAAAATATGTCATGGAATACTTGAGCCATTACGTTCCGAAATATTTAGCGCTGTTTTATGAAATAAATTTTTATAGGTGTTTACATCTAATTGTAAGAAAACGAATTATATCTCCGGTGCCTTCTCTTTTTCACGTTCCGTCGAATGTATTTTACACGAACGATCGATAATTAATTTAATGTGATGATAAAACTTTGCACAGCTTTGTTCTAATTTCTAATCGAACACTCTACTATTACGTTTCTTCTGTGCATTGCTCGAAAAATAATTAAACAATTTTATATTTTTTGATACATGCTATTTTATTTTTATCAGATGCTTATCTATCGCTACGATTAGATATGCCATAAAATACGATGAAACTAGTGGAAACATAGTCAAAAGATATAAGACATTATGTATGTACATATTATACAATATACAACAGTTTGAAGCTAAATTTATAATATGAAAAAAAATTGCAAAAAAAGGAAAATATAAAATTTAAAAAGAACGAAAGAAGAAATCAGGAAAAAATTTAAATAGATATATGTAGTAAAAGTACAGATAAAAAGTAGCCTAAAATTATGTAGTCTAAATTGAATGCTGTCAATAACAAGCCGAATTAAAAAAATTGAGTCGCGCGGCATAACACAGTAAGTATTGAGACGTGACAAAAAATCCAATAATTGACATATCAAAATGTATTGCAAAGCGCATTTGCGGCATAATTGACTCGACCGCAGATCCGCACGCCTGAAGCGGCCTGAAAGTCATTAGCGCGTCGATGATCGGAGTCTCGCGCGCGCGCATATTCGAACGCGCGTGATCGGCCGGTCCGATTCCGGAGCGTTTCGCCGGTTCAGCTGGACTCGGCTTACCGCGCGCGGCGGCAGCAGTGGCAGCACTGGGCAGCACTGCCGCTGGCCCCCGGCCCGTTCACGTTCACGCGGTTCACGCCGCCAGCGCGCAGCGGCCTGAGCGGCCAGCTGTGCCGCGCCGCGCGCGTCTGTAGTATCTGTACTCCGTCCGTCCGTCCGTCCGTCCGTCCCGCCGTGTCGCGCCATTCCGGTCCGTTCCGCTGGCGATTGCCAGAAAGCAAGATGGCGCCCGTCTGTTTGCGGATACCTCTGCCGTGGATATAAATACGCGCGAGGAGGAAAAAGGGGAGAAGAATAAAAAGAGCAGTGCCGAAAAACGATCGCGGACGATCGTGCGGTCGGAGCGACGGTCGTCGTGGTTGCGCGCATCCCGTCCCGCGGTTGACGTCAACGTCGCCACGCGCCGCGGTAACGTCGGGTGAACGCGTCGGTGTCCGTTCCCGTGCTCCCCGTAACGTGTCGTCTCGTCTCGTGTCGTGTTCCCGTCCCCGTCCTGTCGCCGTCGTCGTCGTCGTCGTCGTCCTCTGCGATCCTCTTGCCCGCCCGCGCAGCGATACCATCCCGCGCCTGCCTTGACCGTGCTCCGTCGCAGCTCCACTACTCCAGGAAGGCGCTCCTCGCGAACGGTGCCCACCTGAGGAATGCCAAATCGGCCGCGATCCCCCTGGCAGGTCGGCGGATCGGCAGCGCGGCGCGCCGCGAACGACGAGTGAACGAGAAGCCGTTGAAAAAGAAGAGAGAAAAGAGAAAGACGGGAGACGGGAGAAGGAAGAGAGAAGAGAAGAGAAATATATAAGCGAGCGAAGAGGTGCGGGTGCTCTCGTGGGGATTCCCCTCGCAAGAAGGTGATCGCGCGCGCTCCTCTCCCGTGACGTATGTGTGTCGCGGAGGTCGTTTGTCAGACGGGTCGGTCGCCGCGAGTGTTATCGTCGTTCACGTCGCCGTCCACGTTCCCGTCGTTCCCGTCGTCGTTGTCGACGTCGCGTCGCGAGTGCCGTCGGCGACCTCGATGCGCTGTCGCCCTCCCCTGGAGGACCATCCCCTCTGGACGCCCGGTGGAATCAGCTGTTACTGCTGCTGCTGCTACTGCTGCTGGGACTACTAGCCCGGCAGCTTCCTACGAGGATACTCTTCCATTGGAGCGGTGGGGCAAGGAGGCGCCGGAAGCAGCCGCGAGTCCGGAAGCATAGCGAAGAAGATGGCCTTCAACGAGGTGAGTGCCTGATGTCTATCTCGCGCATCTCTCCGTGCGGTGCTACGTGCTGCGTGCTGCGTGCTGCGTGGCGTGCATGCGTCACGCGCTTCCCGTTGCACCGCGATCGCGCCTTCGCTTCGGCTCCGTTCGATCCCGCGGGGTTGACCCCGCGACCCCGCGACCCCCAAACGCCATTCCTAACCTAACCTCCCGTTCTGCGCACAGCTGGTACGCTATCAACTCCCGCTTCGCTCCTCCCGCGCCCCTCGCTCCTTTCTCTCTCCCCTGCAAACCGACGTCATTCTTTCTCTCTCCCTCTCTCTCGTGACAGTTCGAAGGTGCTTAGCATTCGATAAGAATTGGCTCCACGCGGATGTAATTTGGTGAATTTTATTTGACAAAGTGTGACTTTAAATGGAACCACAGAATGAGATATTGAATTTGTCCTTCCCCTTAGAAAAGATGTCTAACTTTATAAAATAAAATTGATATCTCTATTTGTGACAGATCGTTAATTTGGATTAAAAGTTCACGCGATAGTTCTAATTCGAATTATCGTATATTATCGTGCATTATCGCATATTCATATATATTATCGTTCTTAATTATACGCCATTGATATATCTTTTGTAAATGGAATTCATTTATGTAATCTAATAATTAGACGTTGCAATAATCGCGCAAGTTGCTTCGTAGAGATAAATTTCGTCAAGGATATCCGCTACGTCTACTTAGGATCTTATCCAGCGTTGGATTCGTATACATGTCACGTAGTCGTCACCACGTTCCAATATAATTAACCACGAAAATAATTGTTTTATATAAAATACACGCGAAACTGAAGCAAAGCCGGCAAATTCCGACAATGCCTAATTGTCTCGCGTTCTTGAGAAATCGCAATAAATGTCATTGAAGTACAAAGCTTTATCAGCTACAATAATTCTATCAGTTTGACATAGTAGTCTCGCGGTTGGGGGGTCCGCCGGTTATATCGTCTTACTATCAATACTATCGCAACGTTATAACGTAGCTCGCGGGATTCGCGATCTGTTTTGGATCGTGCCACGCCGCTTTCGAGTCACAACAAAAACATTGATGAGCCTCTTCGTCGTCGTCGTCACCCTATTGATTTTGATAAGAGAGCTCGCATTCTCATCTCGGCAGATATTCGCTCATGCGATAGCGCGCGTTACACATGTTTACGTCTCCTCGCGGTCGGTCAAAAAAAGGAGGAATGAGACGCTCGATTAATCACTCTCGAGCCTCCAAGTCTTCAATTACATCGGCCTCGTATCTCCATTCGATTTATTGATACAATTGATCCGACGTTTTAATAATCTCGGTCGGCGTTATTTCCTACTTCGGACGCACTCGAGTTTCCGCACAATGGGAGATAATATCAACCCTTCCGTGGGACCATGGGAAATTTCTCATCCGTTAGCGGTTAGGATATACGACGCTCGGTAGACTCGCTTTTTATTATATCCACCGATGTCGCGGCCAACTAATTATTTTTACTACAGCGTCAAGGAGAATTTCGCGCGGTTGCGCAAAGATGAATTCGCAATGGGATCTGGATCAACTGATACTTCACCTTTCGCCACCTCTTCGGCGAAAACGTTATCGTCGCCGGTGACGCATGCACGTCGCAATCGTACGGTTGGAATTCGTTTTATCGCACTCGTATGTTTTTCGCTGAGTCGACTCGTATACAAAAAAAGAAGAAATAAAAACTCGCGCCGGTGCGTAATTAATATCCCGCGATTGAATTTCACCGATAGCCTGCTATAACGTTACGTACGGATTACCGCTCGAAACACTTTCGAGCCGAGTGTGATAATCGCATGGAACGTGACTTGTGTTCTCACGTTGCTTTTGATGCTTTCAAATGAAATGTACGTGTGTGCGTGCCTATGACGCGGCTCGTCCAACTTCTTTTTTCCTCATGACCGTCTTTAATAAAGCAAAGGTTTTTTTGTTTCGATCGCTCCTTTATATGCTAAATAAATATCTTTTTTATCGAGCGTTCGATCGACTGAAATTCCTTTCGCGCGAAATTCCCCCTCATTGTCAGATGCGAAGCGATATGCCTGTTTGCGATTGCTTCGCTCGAGGTACACGGATTCATTTCGGGTTCTCGATCGACGACTATCTCGAGGCGATTTCGATCTCGGATTCATCGACGCGCTCTTCAAGATGCTCGTCGTCGGTATCTTATCTTTGTCGCACTTGGCGAGAAAGGAAGTCGAGTCGTCTATCCGACGAGACTCTTAAAAGAAAGAGCCACGGACAAAGCTACCGTTGATATCGATCGAGATGTTATATACCAGTGCGTAGGGTGGGATTCTCCACCCCTTCGACGTCTCTTACGCACGATCCTACGGCTTCGCGATTCTACTGCTAACGCTAAGTTCTCCCTATTCCGTTTTTCGCAACAATTCATGTCTATCTCGAATGAACTCGTCGAGAAAATCAGACCCTAGGTCCCCCTTGAAACTTTTCGGGTAACCTGTGGGAGAGCTGCAAGCTGCAGCACCTGATACTATACATATACGAGTACTATACATGCGTACTCTGAATCGCAAAACTTGAAAGCGAATTAAGAGAACTTTTCTCGCGAATTTCGTGTGGACTTGTTATTGACGTTGTTGTCGAAACGGTTGTCTCGAAACTTCTCCGAAGTTTGCATTCTGCGATATTTCAGCAAATGTGGTAGAACATTTTGTACGTATTGCTGTGAGGTGTTGCGAAAATCGCAAGCTTTCTTCGCGGGAGAGGGGGGAGGGCGCATGAAATTTTTGCCACTTAGTTTCAGAAAAATATTTGTCGTACTCCAGTCATATTTCGAATGTTAGAAAGGTCTATCGTTCTCGCTACATGTGTACGAAAAATCGCCAATATCGGTTCTATTCTTATCAATTCGTATTTAAAAGTAGCTTCGGTTAACACGCATGACTAATTCTTATCACCGCGCATTGTTCCGATTTTATCGTATCGAATGGTAAAAGACGTGTGTGCATGTGGAATGTATACGCGTACCGTTATTACAGGGCGACGCGACGGTCGACGAATCTTCGGCAATGTCCTCGAGTTTCTTTTTCAGGCCACTGTGTGCCTGAATTCGTGTGAATGTAATTCGTGAGCGCGTAAACAGGTTGTCCTGCGACTCTCTTAATTAAGGCAACATTCGGACAAGTTATTTCACAGTTCACTCAATCGCTTTAATTGTCTCTCTTTTACCGGGTACAACCAACGGTTATGAACGTTCCTGTTTAACATTAGAATTCAGTCGCCACGTAAGATGTAATATAATATGAAACAGACAAATATTATATTATTGTATTATATTGTGTTAGTGCTGGTCTACAACTTTGCTTTAGAAGGTATTTAAGCTCTAAGCCGTAAGAAACTGACCAATCACAGTCGAGTATTTTCCTCATATTTCACTGTGATTGGTCAATTTCTTACGGCTTAGAGCTTAAATACTTTTTAAAGCAAGGTTGTAGACCAGCACGTACATGTTACATGTGATGCAAATCTCATATGTTTGTTTATGTGCTCTGAAGTAAGATAATTATCAAAGTCAAGCTCAAAGATCAACGGTAACGCGAATTTTTTCATTGCATGTCGCGAGTAAATCACTCTAAGGAGGGAGTCGCGTGACAGCGATCGCCACTGCATTAGCGTGTTACGTAAGATCCGCGGCTATTTAGTGGCTCGCATTTCCTTGGACGCGCGCCGCACGTACGGCAATGTAGGCCGGATGCGACGGGACGTGTTCTACCAGATGCATCGACGTATACACGACCCAGACCGTGGGCGAGCACGCCGTAGATAGCTCAGAATCGAACTATGGAAATTGACAAAGGCGGGCACATCCGTGATCAAACCCGACGCTCGCGCGCGGACAATGCACCATTGTGCTCCGTTTCCAGGTGTGTGGCCTCCGCTTCCTGGTAAATTAAAAGTTGCCATCGCCATCCCAACGCCGCGTACGTAACGCGATGTCGCGTTGATATTTTTCCAAGATACCGGCGAGATGTTTCCCCCGCATTCATTTCTCATCAATTCCATTTCGCGTCCGCATTATTTATTCGCGCAACGCGAATAAAAATACAATTGTTCTTATTCCGTATATTCCGATAAAGAAATTTCTCGGGTAGTACTCGGTGTAATTTCGTTAATGCACGTGCTACATCCTACAATTTAGATCCCCCACGTCGTCATGAAGACGAAACGAACGCCATGATTTTTCCTCGGCAACTCTCTGTATGCGCATCGCGCTTGGCCGCGATCCATTTTATTTCCGATAAGATATACGCGCTACCAAAAAGAAAAGAACGTTTACGCTTTACGAGCATGCGTTGCAAGATGTAAAAATTGACGGGACTGACAGCCAAATCTAGGGCTCGCCAAAATCGCTGAATAAAGACGGTTTTACAAATCGATTTCAATCATTGGACCAAATAAATCTTTCTCTCAACAGCAGCTATCTTTGTATAATGTTGTAGAAATATAGATGATTTTAAAAGGATCCGACCGCAATACATTTTCTTAAATTCCGTTTAATCGCACCCAAAATAACTCAACACTTGCGATCAAACGGGAAAAAAGCTATTTCATTTACCTTCGGAAAAAGTATAGCATAAAAACTTTTGGCGCGTAATGCAGGTGTTATGAATCTTTTCGGAGATGCAGTATTGTTGTCATATTGTTATACGCAAAATAATTACGAGTCTGCGAGTCTCTTTAGTAGGTACAACGCGAATTTCTCTCCGTAGACATCTAAATTATGATTAAGCAAGCCCTCTGGGTAATCTTGTTCTACAGAAACTTAATCATTGCGACGTAGGCTTGATTCAGATGTATGCTTTTTAATTAAGTTCAGCGACTAAAACTATATTATCCAATCTAATTATATTATCTTAAAGTGATGCTTCTCAAAAATTTGTCGATAATCAATAGCATCCTCGACTCGCTGCAGCAATATCGGGACAATAATCGGAAAAGCTCGCCGA